ATTTTTAGTCATTTTTGAGAAAAAACATTTTGACACATGACATGCCGGTATCTTAGATTTCTCAACCGTACGTACTGTACATGATTGTTTGTTATTGTAATGTATTACCCTGTATGTATGTGTGGCAAAAATGAAACGTATCTCGTGCGCACGAGATACGTTTCATTTTTTTTCCCATGTCCCTTTAGGGGCTCCATATTTCTGCTTATAATATAGCGTTTAAAAAAAACTTTTTTCGACAAAAAATTTTGTAAAAAATCAGGTGAAAATAATTGATATCATGAAGGCGCATTTTAACGGAGGAAGGTTTTAAAAACAGAGCTTTGGGAAACACAAGTAAAAGAACAGATTCTCTACTCACCGCCACATGCTTTTGCAGGTTTGACATTGATGTTTCGACAACGACAGCTCTGTGTGACCCCACCGACAGAGTGAGGTGACCTTTAACCTCTGTCAGCGAACCCCACCTGGAAAGTTAGAATGCAAAACCATTGAATAAAGCTGTTCCTTCTTCCTAAAATAGCTCCTCAGTGGAAACTTCAGCTCATCCGTACCTTAAGTCTGTGGAGGTGAACGCTGTGGTCCACTCATCTGGTCACACACATGCTCTTCTCTCTGCTGTGCACAGGCATGTGGTAAAGTCATGTACTAAAAATATTTTTGCTGCAGTTCTGCTGCAGATGTTGTTCGTGCCAACTAAACAAACTCTTGTTATAAGATGAAAACATTCTTTTCTCTCGAAGCAGTGAGTGTTACTGTTGTCGTCTGACTTAGCCGTGAGCCTTTCAAAGCTACGTTTTAGCATACAGCTAAACTAATTCTTACCTACTCCGTATTTCCCATTAATTTGTTAGGTTTATTGTCATCTTTTGACTATTTATATTATTTTGGGCCAGCCATTATCTATTATAAGGTTGGGATTAAGGTAACATTTAGCTGTTTCTATTTTAACCATTACTTTTTAGATGCGTTTTATTTATAATCATTTAATTTTACAGGTTTTATTGATGAGAAACCTCAGTCATAGTTTAGCTATTTAAATAAATCAGATGTTTTGTTAGATGTTTCTTGGCTAACTTCAATTTGTTTTAACTACATTTTCATGGTTATCTTCTTAATGCTCTTCTTTTTTATATATTTTAACAATATCCTGTATTTAGTTTTCGCCATGCCTTGTCTTTGCGTAAAAGACCCGGTCTGTGGAAAATGTAGGTAGATCTCTCCCCCTGGTGGTAATTTATGCAAACGTGGATACTGTAGGTCACATCGAAAAATCTTGTTTTACCCGCTGCGAAGAATCAGGTCGGGTTGTTCTAGCATTAATAAGATATAAGTTTAATTTCTAAGGACAACTAAGGACACGAATATAAGATAAAACTTAAGTATAAAATACAATTAATTCATATGTCAACTTAGCAAAAGTGTCACAATCTATAAAACTTAAGAAAGTAGAATATAATAATAATATTAAAACGTTTATGAAACTGAATTTTTAAAGAAAACATACTAATAGATATATGGATGCTTAGAATATGGGTTTAATTTCAGAAATGAAAAATGTCTTTTACTTGGAAAAACAAATAAAGCTGAACTACAAATCCCAGTTTAGCGACATCCAGAGCCTGTACAATACATGTTCATGTAAAAACAAAACTAGTCAGTCAGGCTGTGGTTTATAATTGGGCTTCGGATGAAGTGTAAAATTAAGTTTCATTTCTCAACAAATAATGTAGCTGGTTCACCTGCCTTCTCTAATTCAATTGTAGCTCCAGCATTTTCAGCAAAAATATATCCACCCGGTGGACATTTTGGGGCATTTTTTATATGATAGTTTAAGCACATTAGCACACAATAAAAATATTTTTGTTACATTTGCCCTTAACAAGAACACAACAGAGAACCCTAGAGCAGGAGAAAGCAGGATAAAGTGAGTATAATTATTTTTAAAATGTACAAAGGTCAAGGGGAGGGGAGGTAGCTGGGCCGTAGGAAGTAGGCTGTCGAGACCACGGGGATGGGAGTGATACACAGGCAGCAGATTAAGACTGGGCCACAGACCAAATTTTACAAAAACTTAAATCATCAAACTTCATGGTTAGTGGTCATTAGAACCACAAAAAAAAAAACAGAGCAGCCACCATGAGGATCAGTTTCATCAACTGGTTTGTGTCTAAAGTCTGTTCTGACTTTTTGACTGCTGAGATAACCAGCGGTGCACCATTCACACCCTCTTCAGGAAAGCCAGGACTGAAAAATGGGAAGATTTTACCCCCGAAGACACAGTCGGTGAAGGTGTAGATCAGAGTTGAAGTGTCCACATTGTAGAAGGACACCTGTCTCTGCTCACAGTCCACAAACACCCCCACCCTCTCTGGTTTCTTCTTCAGGGACAGGTGGACAGAGACATTATTCAGAGCTGTGAATTTAGTGTTGCTCCTTAACCGAATGATCCAAACTCCATTCTTGGGCTTTGGTGTGATTGTCTTCAACCCACGCAAAGACTCTCTGACTACTCCTAGGTCCCAGCCATTCTTCATCGTGACCTGAACCTCGTAGTAGAATCTACCTACACTAAAGGCATTTTTTCCCAGGACGTAGGCGTACCTATTGAATTTGTGAGGCTCTGTGTTTCCAAACCACCATATGTGAGATGCCTGCACTTCTTTCAAGTCTTTTGAAAATACAAGGAGATCGTTTGCAGTGTTGGGGTCCAACTTAACGTCCACTGCATAATGCTGTCGGATTATGTCCAACTTGGTGCCATCTGGCAGGCTGTCCAGATCTAAATATACCATCCTCTTCTCTACAGGAGTTTCTTCAGCGATTAACTGACCAAAGCACTCCTTGAAATCTTGAATAGTTTGCTGAATGTCTTTAGTGATATTCTCCTCCATCTGCACCAAGACTTTCTTTGCATCCTCCACACAGGGCTGTTCACTGAGAGTGACATCAGACCAGTTCTTGGTCTGTGGCAAGTGGGAGGAGATGAAGTGAAAACGTTTGATTAGCTGGAGGTGGTCTTTATCACTGGAGATGCTCTCCAGTTTCCTGAATTTCCTCTGGAGCTCTGTGACTTCTTTATTTAGCTCCTTGATCAGGACCTGGGCCTGGATCTCTTCCATCTTCTGCTTCTTGTCAATCACGCTCACAACCGCAGACAGGTTTCTTTGCAACGAGACCATGAGGGGAGTCAAGACCTGAACACTATTTGCCTTTAACTTTCCATTTTCTTGTCTCTTCTTGTCTAGTACACCTGATATCTCCTGAGCCTTCAGCTGTCGCTCCTGTATCATCTCCTGTACCTCTGCCTTCTGCTGCTCCAGCTGACTGTACTTCTCTTCAAACTCCTCCTCTAGAGGAACCCTGTGGTGACCAACATGGTCTGTGCAAAGAGCACAAACACGACACATATCCTTCCTGCAGAAAAGCTCCAACATCCTGTTGTGCTTCCTGCATATTTTGTCACCTACGTTGAGCACAGGACCGCTCAGTATGTGTGTCTTCAGATCAGCATCCTGAAGATGCGGCGCGAGGTGATCTTCACAGTAGGAAGCCACACACACTAAACAGGTCTTAGCAGCTTTGACTTTGCTGCCAAGGCAAACGTCACATGAAACTTCTCCTGGTTTGGCACAGGCACCTTTTTTGGTCGTATCTTGAAAACTTTTGAAGTTCTCCACAACCTCCTTGAATCCAGTATTGACGCAAAGTTTGAAATTTCTGGTGAACGTGTCCTTGCACAGTGGACACTGACGTATGGCTTTGCCCTCCCAGTGCTTGGAGATACAGGCTTTGCAGAAATTGTGTCCACAGGGAAGGGACACAGGCACGATGAAGATGTCCAGACAAATGGAGCAAGTGAACTGATCTTCAGACAGGAAAACTTTGGATAAGGCCATATCTGAAGGAGATGGATTTGTAAGAAATCAAATATCAAGGTCAACATCAATATCTTCACTACCTCAGTTATTTTAACTGACAAGGTCTGCAGTTGCTTTGGCCATTTTTTTTACAAGTTACAGGAAGAAGGTTTCACCAGACATCAGCCCATTCTTTGGTGAAACTTTCAAACCTCTTCCCATCTGATCATTTGCTATCCTGGAAGCAGGGGTTCAGATTTTCAGATTAGCCCTTTAACGTAGGGTTTCTTCGTCACCAAACTCACACTGCACTCTACTCTTGAGACTGTCTATTCTCGCACTTTTATTGTGGGGACTTGAGACTTTGGCTTTGGTTTCTGCACAACCTGCTTGGAACCAGTGTTGACCATGTTTAATACAGCAGTCTGTCCCAACTAGGGGTACACAGACTCCAAGCAGTACATGAGCACTTTACATTACATTACTTTAGGTTTCAATTCTGGTTTAAACTAAAAAAAAACAACCTAAAATGTAGGGTTTTTTTAACATGTTTTTAAAGCATATATACACATATATGTATACTGTATGTATATATATATATATATATATATATATATATAATACATATATACATACATACTGTACACGCTATACATCAATAGGTCTATGTTTATAGTGTGTATATTTCAAATTAAAATATTTTTTTCAAATGTGTTATATATACATATACTGTACGCATAAATATGCATGCTGAATATATGTACATATACAGCATAAACACAGAGCATATCATCAGAAAATTATGAGCCCATGCAGAGTAAAACATTCTGAAGTTAAAACCTTTAAAATGTGACACGTTCATATTTTATCTTAATCATTACTTATGCACTAAGAATTTGCTCACTCACAAGTGAAAATCTTGACGTATACGTCATGGTACAGACTTGATACCATGCACATTCACATTACAAACAACACAACATGAATTATGTCATAAAAAGTCCCAAAAAAAAGTATTAAAAAAAAAAAGAAATCACCAAACTATTAAAGACAAAACTTAGATAAATGTTACCTTCTTGCTGGTAGAGACCGGGATTTGCTATTGTTTATGACACCAAGGGAACTGTGATCATCATAGTTTTCGTTTCCCAGTAAGTATTTATGTTGAGTCACAACATCCACTCCTCCCTTCTAATGTCCCACTTAGATACAGGTTTAACCCTTAGGACTCTTGCACATGCATTTATTTTGAGTTTACCAGTTTTCCAGGACCAATAGGTTTATACACATGTCATGTGACCTACCAAGAATACATTCAATACATTTTTTTGTACTTTTCCAGCTCTCTATTGGCGAATATTATAACTGTTATTATCATTTATATATATATATATATATATAGTTATTATTATTTTTATTATTATTATATTGTGAGTTACAAACTAGAGTTAATAACTTAAGGCTTTTTTTCTGATCATCAAGTTACTGTCTGGCTGACCTTTGAATATGTTTTGGGTATTTTCTGTGATCATGTGCTAATTTTTTGCAGTTGTAAAAATTCATTTGCATTTTTCCTAACTTCTACATTTTCAGCAATTATTGGACTAACTTTTAGTTGTAACATTATTTTTTACTATTCACTTATTCAGTAGTAAATATATCTTATGATCTGGCCAGTGTATGCTTTTGGATAGACAATTTAAACTTTAAACTAAAGTATTTAGCAACTTACATAAATGGACTACTCCTGAATAGGATTTGAAAAAGTTTACACAGTATTTATATGTATTAATTTAATTTAATTTAACTATGTTTGACGTTTCCTTTCTCTGTTATTTGCTTAGGGCAGCACCTATTCACACAAAACAAATACAGTACTTCAACTTGGTTTGATTTAAACATTCCTTTGTTCATTTGTTCCAGTACAATACCTGAATCTGAAAAGGAACAGACATGGAGAATGAGTCTGAAAAATGTAAGGGGAGAAAATACAGTATATTCTCGAGTTAGGAGGGGGGAAAAACAAAGAAGCATGGGCCAGTGGACTGAGGACATCTAGTGGACAGAATGTAGAGTTAGTTGTGTGGAATTTATGCGAAAAACTGAAAACAAGCTGAAGACGCAGACCAAAGGCAACCGAGAAGAGGCGGATTCAGACGCTAATTTAATTTAATCAAAATAACACAAACGAAACCTCAAAGAAATCTTTGATTGATTCAAACATTAAAAGATCCTTTCAAGTTTGCTCGTACTCTATGATTTATAAGATCTCCACTCTCCGACGGTTTACTTCAAATGATTATTATTTCAGCTCTCACTTAATAACTCACCAAATTTCCCTTCTTCAGTCTGCATATTTAACACATACATGTAATTCATCTGATAAAAAAAAAGAAGTAAGAGACTTAAAACTTATTGAACTGGTTGTAGTTGATCCATATCAAAATACTATATAATAATATTATTGTTATATTTCTGTTTAGCCAAACAGGCTTCGATATTATAATGTTTTTATTATTATTAATAATTTACTGTATAAGTCCGCGCTTAAGTTTGACCGTGGAAATTCCGCCAATCATGTACAACTTGAATGCAGCGATTACAGCAAGTGAAGGATAAAACAAATCTAACAGGGGGCGGGGCGAAGCATGAAACGAAACAGAAGGAGAACATCAGTTTGTATAAATAACTTTCAGTGGTTTGTGTTTCTGTTTGCAGAGAGAAAATAGGTCATGCCATTAATTAGTTAAACAGTCTCGACTTCTACATAAAACTTAGCAGCAAAAGCAGCTCACTCCGACTATACTCACTCCAGCTCTTAAGTGCTGAGAAATTCAGCTTTTTTAATTAACCCAGAAAGGCGAACAAAAGCCCGTGAGTCACTGTGTGTTTGTGCACCACTACCTGTCTGTGCAGTTTGTCCCCGATGTAATGAAGCGATAATGTAGCCGATGTGCTTTAAATACTATCGGCTCTAATAGGATTGCCTTCTCAGTGTGTGTTTGCCTGTTCGTTTCAAAGGGCATTAACACAACAAAGACAGAGTGTATTTCCATATAAAAGTACAAATCAACCGTGGCTCACACACCTCATTAACTTAAAAATAATTATCCCTTTTCTCTTTCTTTCTCACATTAACAAGGTACTCAGCTCGCCAGTACAGCAGGTATACTGTATGGCTAAGGAAAATATTGTGTTTCTGGAAGACAAAGTTTTACAGTCCTAACATACAAACCTCACTTTGACAAGCTGGTTCCACAGAAATGAAACTGGTTCTTCATATGAAATACGGGTTCCTCCTTTAGCAGGTGTGTCAACACCAGGTAAACAGGAGCATCCATAAAGGGCTGTGTTTTAGCAGTAGAAAATGGGTTGACACCACAGCTGTTCACGCAGGGCAATGGTCAACTTAACTTAACAGTATTTTTCAGCTACTTGAGAGGTATGTTTTTATGCTACAGATTTAGACCTAGCCTTTTCAAATAGCTGGCCCGCTGACCACCTGCTGTTCAGGCACAACCACAGACTGGCCTAGTGTGACAAGTAAGTGGAACTGCTACAGATGAGAAACCAAGATGCAACAATCTTTGTAAACCAGTAACATGCAACCAACCTCTACAAGAGTTGGGTCTTAAAGTGCTAACCGTCAAAATACGTCCCTCGCAAAGTAGAAATGTAAAATATCCATTAAAAATCTTACCCTGCAGGTACTGATTTATTTTGCCCCAAACACCAGGCCCCACTGAAAAGACTCACGTGTTTTGGGACAGATTTTGTAACTACTTCCTGTTTATTAGCCACCAGTAATGTCAAAGTAAATTTATAATGGAATATAACCGCTTTAGATCATTGTTAAGTTAACAGTTAACTTTATTTTTTAAGGCAATATTAATTTTATTTCATTTTTGAAAATGTATGGTTTAACAAAATAAGACCAGATGTCTTCGACTGGAATTCAGTCAACAGTAAAACCACTGTACTGAAGGTTCCAAGTAATTACTAATAACTATTTGCTTCAGGCCTCTCACTGACACACTGACGGGAACTCCAAACAGAAAGGTCCGTAGGGCGTTTGCTCTTTATTTGAAACATATTTTGGGCTGCAATCCATTCTTTGAGACTCAGAGAAGTCATTTCTACTGCAGCGTGGTGAAAAGATGACAAATTAGCTGAACGTCCTGATTCTACTTCTACAAGAAAGCTACTTTGGGATAAGTCACTTGATTCTCAGCACTGAGTGGAAATCACGTCTAGTCATTCAAATCTGCAATTCACAAAACACATTTGGCTCCAGGAGCTTTGAAGGATTGACATAAAATTAAAACAAAGATTAAAACAATGAATACAGGTAAAATAATGTAGTAAATTGTTATTTTGTATTAACAAAGCATAGCAAAAATATGGAGTAGATTCAATATTCTAAGGTAAAAGATAAAACTAAAGTTTACACCAAAAAGTGAATAAATTGCTTAACAACATTTATGAGTGTTTTTGTCTTCCAGACTAAAGCGGAAGAAATAACAGGTGGCTAAAAACAAGGGCACATCACGTTTAAAAAGGTGCCTTGATTCACTAGATACGCGACGAAAGCCACCAGTAGATGGCGATGCTACCATTCTAACGGAGTAAGATTACTACAAAGCCCGTCTCAGTCATAAGTAATGGGCGGCTTTTGTTTCAATTTAATATTTGAGAGAAATTTAAAAGTATATGACGCTGAGTGATGAAGATTCCTAAACAAAATTGCTGTATTTGGATACATTATTTTTATTTCTCTTTAGTGAGAAAAAAAAAGATTTACTTAAACTCACATACACTCTAACACACGCACACGGAGTTGGGTCATCCCTGTGAAGGAGGACACTCCGTGTTCCCACTGACACTGACTGCGCCCCCGCTGACAGACATCACTGATATATTCTCGAACCCTAAAGATCCTGTGGGTTTGACAGCGTGGGCAGGAGGCTGGTGTCCTTTGGGATAAAAATAATTACAACATAAATGTAAATGATGACTACAAAGGGGTCTTTTCATGTCGGCGCTTCTCCAGAACTCGCTCTGGAGCTTTTTTTTTTTTTCAGAACCGGCAAAGGCACATTCCTACACGCGCGCACCCGACCTCACTCCTGAGACGTGAACGCGTCCAGGGGCTATTGAGAGGCTCAATTTGTAGCAAGAAAAATATAATTTATTAGAAAAGTAAAGTATTTTTGATACGACATATTTCAATGTGATGTAAATGTAACATTTAATAACAACGTAGGTTCTGATCTTAGCGGTAAAACGTGTACCACCACTCAAATCACCCCATGTAAAGCATATTTTGAATAATGACTATATGAGAGTGCATGCTTTAAACAAAGCTCCGTGTGAACCTAAGGAAGTTTAGTCACATCCACATCATTTGCTGTGTGTAGGAATGATGAAGACATTTTGTGCACGCAGGATCTGGAGATGGGATCGGCTGGATGACGGCGGGGGGAGCAAACTCCACCCAGCAGATAGAATCGAAGGCAGGCGGAGCGGAGGTGCTGCTTGTGCCCAAAGGGCTCAGGCTGGTTGCTCGGGACGCGCCTGACAAGTCCCGGACCAAACTTGTGAGGGGGCAAAGTCCAGTGGAGAGGAGTGTGGAAGTTTAACGCGCGACAGGAAACTCGTTCACTTGCGCTTTTAAAGAGGACATGCTCCAAAGATGGCGATGGTAATAGCCACGGGTGTTTCGGGTTCTTCTGGGGTGCCCAAAAGTGGATTTGTGGAGGTTTTGGTGCGGGGTCGCTGGCACAAAGTTTTGGTCAACTTGAACGAGGAAGCGCTGACGTTAAGCTGCGAGGAGAGCGGCGTCGGCGTGAACGTGAACAACAATGTCAACTCCAACGGCGTCTCCAACGGGTCCTACTTGGACAACAGTAACGCCAACTCCAACAACGGACCCCCACACGTGCGCACCGCGCTCACGGACCTACCGGAGAGGGTTCCTGAGGCGATCGCCAACAGAAAGCGGTGCGTCAAGGTGACCAAGCAGGAGGTCGGGGGTCTGGGTATAAGCATCAAAGGAGGGAAGGAGAATAAAATGCCCATTCTCATAAGTAAGATATTCAAAGGACTGGCGGCGGACCAGACCCAGGCGCTTTACGTAGGTGACGCCATCCTGTCTGTGAATGGCATGAACCTGCGGGACGCGACCCACGATGAGGCCGTGCAGGCGCTGAAACGGGCCGGAAAAGAGGTGACATTGGAAGGTATGTGGACTAAGTGGACCATCGAAGAGACAGACAAGGGTGTTGCCTGTCAAGGTTGATGCCTGTCTGTGTATAATAAACTATTTACAAGTGATTAAGTATTTAATATGCATCTGAAACGAGTTCCACAGAACAAGTGTGGTTTGAAAGGGCCAAAAGTGAAAACAGTTCTGCAGAATCAGATTATTTTCAGATCTTATATGTACCAGGCAGTATGTCCTGACTGTTATCAGAAATGGTATTTTATAAACAGTTTATTCTGCTTTTAACTTCCTTAAAACTGCTTTGTTTGACTTCATTTAAAACCTGAAGCTGTGTTGAAGTCTGGACAGGCAGGAACAGACACCAGGGTTTATTGAAGCAAGTCTCCAAAGACAGGGTTGAAGCAACAGGGACAAAGTATTGCAGTTATACACCCTACACCCTACTATCAAACAAATGTCTTTACATTCTTAAAGCCTCTTGACGAAGTCTTGACTCTAGAAAACGATTAGTTGGGTTCATTCAAGGGAACATGATTTTCTCGTCATCTTATGTCAGTACAAGAAACATAGAGTGTTGAAAGTCTTTGGTGGACACTGCTGCTGTTTTTCAAAACTGGTGTTTTAATAGTGTTTAGTATTTTAATTGCAGTGATGAATCATGTGTGGTTATAAGGTCATGATTTGAAGCATGTGTGCTTTTGAATTCAGTTACACATATATTTGCCTCAAGTCAAGCAATACCTAAAATCCCTGCAATTTATTCTACCATTAATCTAAAATGACAAATATTAATTAACTAATTGTTGTCTTAGGAGTCAGCTGTCTAACAAGATGCTACTGAGGCAGTAACTTGATTTCTCTATTAATGTCATGGTGGAAACATAAGGTCAGATGCTGTAAGTCTGATGTTTAATGGAAGAATCATGCAGCCACACTCATATTAGAATCATATTGTGTCCTCTTATCTCCCCTTATACTCAACCCAACAAGCTTTAGCGTTTATAATGACAGTTACTGTAGACTGACAGGTGGATTGAACTCTGAATGTTGACTATCATTTACACACACAACACACACCAAACACACGGACACGTACCCACCGCTTACACCTCTTTCTGTTCCAGTGGAGACCATTGGATCATTGATAGGAAGAACAAAGTCTATCTCCTTCTCTCCCACACACACACATACACACACACACAAACATCTCCTGTCTTTCCATTTATATTCACATGAAAGTATTGTGATGATCTTTCCCACAGGGGGGACAAGGGCAATACTGCAAAGAGAGAAGCAGGTCCCAGCCGAAAACTTTCTCAGATAAGACAAAAGTAAAGAAGGAATCGGCTGAGCAAAGTGGAAGAAAGGCAGAGGGGGGAGCAGCCACTGTGGAGCTGAAATGTGAATTTAATGGGCAAATGCTGAGAAGGAGAAAGAGCAAAGAGACGGCACAAAGTGATGGAAACAGAAAGGGAGCGAGGAAGGAGGCTGAGAGGTAGATATACAGATATACAGAATGTTGAAACTGAAAGGATAGAACGTCATTTCCCACTTCAGTGTTGAAACAGCAGAAAAAACAACAACAAAAAGTAAATAAATAGGAGAATTAAATATGTTTAAAGGATATCTGGGTGTGTGGGAATCCACACATAAAGCATGTATAATATAAAAAAAAAGGACCAAACCAAAATATATGCCACTTATTTAAGCAATGCTTTTAAGGCTTGGAGCCAACCTGGCATCCCCACTGTTAATTACTGTACTCCAAGGACAAACCACAACTAATTAAAAAAAAAAAACAACAACAGACAGACGGTTTTATAGCGTCCTTATATTGTCTACATTGGACAAGTCAAATGAATGCAATCATTTTTGGACCCTAACAGAATGAGTTCTGGTGCATGTTTTACTTCACATTTGCATGCACACAGACCAATGTTGCCAGATCTTGTGAGACAAACAAAAACAAGCATTGTTACATAAAATAAAACTTAATACTATAATAGATTAGAACTATGATGGATAGTCAAAAAATTCCAAGAGGTGGTTCAAGAGGTGTATATATTTTAAAAAAAGTACGAAAACATATTCACAGTGACAAATTTCAAGTTTTTCCCATCCCTCAGAAATAGAAGAAACCATTTATGAAATTAGAGCAAACATCAAAGTTTTGCCCTAGCTTAAACTCGTTAAAATTACCCTAGTTTTGCAACAGGTTTTGATCTGATTTCTGTCCAAATTTCCTTGGACAAGGAAAAATACTGCCCCAATTTATATATTTTTCTTTTACCAAGAAGGGATTCTCTGATGAAAACACCACCAGCAGGAGTGTTAAGAACTATATAGAGGATATTTTTAAATTGTCTTAGAACCTCGTATTTTGATGTGGGCCTCAATAACAGACAAATTCAGAAAGTGGACATGGTACCTATTCTGGAAGCGGGAAAAAAAAACAAATAATGAAAAGTCTGAGAAGAACATCTGCCAAACGACAGCAGACAGGAAATGAGTAAGCTCTCCTGTTGAGCCCTTAACAAGCCGTACCTGTCATCACCCAGCATCTGCTAGATGACTGCTTGTGTATGTGCTGCTGTGAGCAATGTAATGTACTGTGTGTGTCTGTGTGTGTCTGTGCTGAGCACGGAGTTCATTGATGGTTGTCATTATCAGATTTCGTCAGCCGTGTGGTGTGGATTAATACCAGTGAAACTGTGGTCAAGTGCATGTCACAGCCTGACTGACAGACAGACAGACAGACAGGAAGACAGGACAGTCTACTGTACCCGTCTCCCCTTTATTGGCGCGTTGATGTCATTAGAGAGACTATCATCTCCTCTGCCACTGTTTGTGAAGTATGACTCAGAGCGGATGATGGCGATGATAATCACAGAGTGGAGCTGCACTACTGTCTGTTGTGCTGAAGATAATAGATTGAATCATTCATTCCTCCCCTCTCCTCTGTGGATGTTTTCACAAAAGACAAGGCTCGTCTGTTTTTTCCTGTCGGCTTTGTACGAGGAAGACAAACACTCCGCTTTCCCTAGCAGGTGTAATCGTTGTGTTTGTTTTGTTCTGTGTTCTTCGTAATAGTAATCTGAAAAACAATACTCCACGGTGGAGACATGTTTATACTTCCCAGATCGCTTAGGAAAATTTTTACAGTTTGACAACAAATGACCGCAAAATATGGAATATCACCGATTCCCGCTGAATCCTGGGAGTCTGCTGTCAAAAGCTTCCATCTGCTCACACTTTCTGTGGTCGGGGTTTTGACACATATTGTTGGTTTTAACGCTCTGTGTGGAACATGCACTCCTCACATCCGTGGTTAAAAGTCTGATAATGATAAAGACATGTAGAGTCTGCGGTCGTGCTTTTCATAATTCCTTATGCAAAACTAGTTTGCTCATTTCAAAAAAACTTTATCTGATTGTGTCGCGTATGGACGAGCAAGTCAGTGAAGTGTAAGTCCTTAGTTGACAGTAATTGTCAGTTTGTGTACCTCCACCCAATTTTACGCCTGTCAGCCTTTGTGTCTCATATTGCGACAAATGTACCAACATCATACTGTGGTGTCTCATACTACCATATCTAAGAGCCAAGTATTTCCTCTTGTCTTTGGTTTCCAACCTGTCAGCTCCCCCTGACATGCTGCTCAATGAAAAGGGTTGTGTCTGCAGGCAGTTGGTCACTGTTTGACATGAGGTTTTAAAATCAGTGACACCTTAGCTCGGGGGTCATTGTTTGGTTAAGATGATACTTAAACTCTGAGCCATACTGTATCTCAACTAAAGGATGCCCTGGAGTGGCGTTAGTAAAGACCTTTTGTGCTGCTCTCGTATCCAGATACTTGCCCAGAAGTGAAAAAAACAGTAACTCTGGAATCAGAGTAGACTTTGACTTCATTTGTCAGTTTTCTTTACTTCCACCTCTGCGCTCAGTCTCTTCTCTTTTCAACATTTCAACTTCTAAAAATATTTCTCTGTATTTATCTGCCACAGTTTTAGTGACATTTCAGAACACTTCAACAGTGAAGCTAAGAAAATATTGTTAAAAATAAAAGATGCAAAGAAGAAGTTGAAGCAGTTGAACCTGAGCTTGGTGTGAACTACACAGTGGCCTCTGGGTTGTGGCCTTATGTTATGTCCATACATATATACAGTGTATATATATATATATATATATATATATATATGTATATATATATATATGTGTGTATATATGTGTGTGTGTGTGTGTGTGAAGGCAGAAGACAAAAAGTACTCCCCACATCTGGCCTATGACTAGATGTTAATAATAATTAAATTCTTAGTAAATTAAATTCTTTGTACTATCTGTGGGCATATTTTATAACATATTTATATTTAACTATAACCACACACACACAACAAAAAAATGGTATTAAACATCAACCACAAATCATTTGCTGTCTTCAAAATAGTCAAAGATCTGACGATACATGGTTAAAGAAGAAATAATTGGTCGGTAGATGAGCTACGTCCTGGCTTTTATGGTTCAGTTTCTAGCACTGATCAAGTTTTACCCAGATTAAGACTTGGTTCTCACTCTGGTCAAGTGAATTCACTAAGTGAACATTCCGTCCTTTCTCACACCATTTAATAAAGAGGCACTGGAATGACTAGAATGATAGATTGAACAGCACTGCTCCGCACCAATGGCTGCATTAGGAAAACCAACACCTCATTAGGTAATTAACAGAAGACAGATACAGCAGGAAATAAAATGTAATATTTAACAGACAAGAAATGTTGCTGTGCCGAGGGGAGTCTCCACATCGACAGCTTCACTTATCTTTCCCATAATTCAAACCAAGCACCAGAGGCAGTACAGTGGAGCAGGAGTGTGTTTGATGGGGTTGGGGTTACACAAACACGCATGCTGAGGAATATGAATGAACTAGTGTTGTTTGTGTGTACTCTCTGTGAATGTGTTGCTGAACGGCTGGCTGTAGTGTCAGGTTAAGAAATGAAGCGTGTCATTTGTGAATGGGCCGAAGGGAGTGGGTTGACAAAATAGGTGAACGGCGTTTGGATGCCATGAGTGTGGCCCACAGCTCTGCTCTGAACGGAGCAGAGGCAGAGAAAGAGTTGCAGTGCAATCATTACAGCCGTGTTGCTCTCATTGGAATCTTTTTTTTTCTTTTTCAGAAAGCCACAAACTTGACCATGAGCGTGGTTTTCAATAAAAGAACAGGTCGCCTTTGGCCCATAATCTCCACGTTCTTATCCTGTTATTGAGTGTATTGAGCAGAGTGGGCTGTGCTGCTGCTGTAATGGAATATAAACATGACCCATGGGAAAGCACACACACACGCACACACATTTACGCACTCCCAGTGCAATGACCACATCCCACCCACCACAATAATTTTCCCATCCACTGGAAACACTGGCAGCTTTTTCCTGGGCACAGTGACGTTTGTCAGTGAGCTTACGTTTCCTCCTCCTGCTCTGTCTTTGTAAATGTTAATGGAATCTAAGGTGTCATTGTTTCCCAGTTAGTCATGTAAAGAGACGAGTTAATGAAGCCTTTGTCCACTCAAAGGCTGTGAACTGTGGATCTTTACACTGTCAGTCAGTTTTTCTGTCCTTCTCTGCAGTGGATTGTTTAGCATTTGTCTTTACGGCCACATCTTTTCTCCCTTTGTGTTTTAAACTTCTCCTGGTTTTTCTTGTGAGGTGTGATTTATGGCTGTAGTTAATGGGAGTCCTGGGAGTCACAGCTTTTGATTTATACCAGAGTGTCTGCCTTGTGCTGTTGCAGCCCTGCAACAATAGATGGATGTGCTCCACCTGACATTATATCAAGCTTTAATTACACTCTCAACACTTACTTTGTTGACACAGTTTCATTAATTCTGCAATGGGGACTGATGGCGGGGGTTTAATCTGATCTCATTACAAACTAAGGGGCCACACCATGCTATCGCTGTGTTCACATTGACACTCTATTAGTATTATACACTGTTAAATATAGAGGAGGGTTGGGGTTAACTTGTTAACCATGCTCCTAGAACACGTGTTCTTTTTAATCATTTGTTACTTCAGAATGACAGACTGAACACAACAATGGTTGTAAAATATATATATATATATTATATAACTTTTCATAAAAAAGTATGATTTTTTTTTTAATTATGTCTAATTTGGTTCTTAGAGCCACCTTATTTTGCACCAGTGCTCCTGAGTCACTTGAAAGACTTCATTAAAATGTCTTTCTAGCCCAGCAGTGAATCTCCAGCAAGTAAACACTTTTTAGTCAATAGCCTAAAACCAAAAGCTCAGGCTTTTATGGCTGTGTAGGTTACTGCAGGTGAAGGTGACAAAAGTTGTTCTTCTTAATCCAAAACTTCATCAAACAAAGACTGTATATTAAACTCGACTTCATTGTCGTTATAAATTATTATACATCTAAAGGAACAGAATATCAAAGCACATCAGCTCTAATAACACATTCAGCAGTGGCACAAATATCTCAGAGAATAAATGAATCAAAAGCAGCAAAAATCAATAATTGAAATATAAACTTTGCAAGAAGTTCCATGTGAATATAATACTTTCTCTGCAGCGTGTACAGGTTTCAATAATTAATAGTCTCTGTGTGATTTTTGTGCATACAACTCAGGGATTCCAGATTTAATTTAAGTTCATTTTGTTGACAAAAATCACTTGAATCCGGGCATGATTTTAGGATTGGAGTAACAATTTGTTACACACCGGCATATATAATATGAGTCACGTGACGTTGGGGTGTTAATCGGTACTAGCTAAGGACTGTCTTCATCATTTGCCTCAACTAATAAGTGTATTTCAGCATTGGCGTCGAACTACTGCGGTGCTCACATGAACAGGAACAAAAAAAAAAAAAAAACTGTCAGGGACAGAAAATTGGAAAAAGGTGCCAGTCACTCACATGGACAATTGAAATCTCTTCCAGGCGGCAGAGTCAATAGAACCAAAGTTACGAGGCTGCTGGAAACTTCACTTAAAGTACTTTGCTTTTTTGACTCTACCCTCAGAGGTCATAACACTTATTGAAAGAGTCAAAGGGAAGTGAAATTGGAAAAAAAGCCTTCCAAACAAATTTAATCTGAAGGTTGAAAATACTACAAAAAAAACAACCTTTTTGTAACCCAGGAAGTCTGAGTTCATTGACGGCACCACAGCAGTTGGAAAGATTTAAAATGGAAAGTGCAGCCATCTTGACTGGCAGCTGCTGTTTGTCTGAGCTGACGTTTTATTGGAAGGTAGAGTTGTATTTGCGTTGTTTGGAAGAGTCTGATAAAGAGTGAATGCTACACTGTACTCCCAATGCTGTTAGTCTTAACATTAAATGTTTTTATAGCACCAATAGGTGGCATGTTTGCAGGAGCAGCTGGTGAAGCAGTTTTGGCCCCATTAAACAATGTTGTGACTTTCTGTTGTGTGCCACTGAATTCCTCCAGCCCTTAGTAAACTGTGTGGGCTGTAGAGTCCATAGTCTGCAGTCGTCCAAATGAGACACAGGTCCAGAGGGAACATCCATCTTTTATACACAGTCTACAGCTTTCTGCTTAAAACATAAGCAGCTTTCCCAACTACTGACAATCACGCCCACTTTGTAGCTGCCATGCCTTTAACACATGGGTAAACTTTGTTTTGGAGGGATGCGTCAATTGCAGTGAAGGATTTGTGCCTTTGGTAGACATTGGAATCCAAAACACAGGAGTGGGATGATGTTCAGTTCGGTACTGACAGCTGAGGGAACAATGTTTAAATCTAAGACCAGATGGAACGGAACACAAAAAGAGAAAGATTGTTTCTTTCGCCGTATGTTTTTTTTTTCTCCCTGACCTAAATCTGAAACAAAGCGTTTGGCTGTTGTTATATATAACATATTGTTAATGTTAATATGATTGAGGGGAATATTGTGCTGAACAGCCAAATAAGATCTCTCTCTGTTTGGTCCGTTGAGGACACCTTTGCATCACCTCTGCCTCTTATTCCGTGTTGTGTGTCAGCTTGTCATCTTTCGTCTACAAGTTGGCGGTGAGGCTTGTCACAGCGTCTCATAGGACTCTATGGCGTCTCTCAACAAATGCCACCAGCCATATGACAATTATGTGCTGTTCCTATCGTGGGATGTGCCAATTAAATGGCCACTGTATCCCGGCTTTCAGATTGGTCAAGATATGGAGCGTGTGCTCAGAACCATCTGTATTTTTGCCATTCAGAGTATGTCTCTGATGAAAACGTCTGTCCTTACGTCACTATTCAGCTTCTTTTTCTCAGAGCTTAAAGAATTGAAACTAGATATTAAGCTTTCAAAGATTCAGAGTCTGACTTTTACAAGTATGTTTTTCTAGGCTGATGTCTGTGTCCACACTAGAAGTGATTATGTTTTTAACTTTGAGAAGGGGAGCTAAACATTCCTGGGAGGAAAAGGAACAACACCAGCACTTCAGCAGAGAAGCATTTCAGGAGCTCTACAAAAAAAAAATGCCATGTAGTGTTTTCTAACAATTAGTAATATCCCGGAGGAGAGCAGATGGGAGACAAGAGACAAGTCTGCAAAGAAAAAGGCCAGAGCTAACACAATATGTAAATGTATCTGTGACGTGCCGGTTCAAGGTAAATGTTAGAAAACCCCGTTCCACAGAGGGAAAGGTTTAAAAAAAAAAAAAATATATATACCTATATATATATCTATATATATCTATATCTATCTATATATATATATATATATATAGATAGATATAGATATAGATATAGATATAGATATATATATAGATAGATATAGATATAGATATAGATATAGATAGATATAGATATAATTACCAACCCTGCCTTATAATAGTCACTTCATTTATGGGGTCATTCGAAGACTTGAACTTCGGTTAGTGAAAATCCATTTTCTCATAAACCTGAGTCTCTAGACTGAATTCAAGTGGCATTATGGCATAGCAGCGTTCCACTGATTTATGATTCTGTCTGCAGCCACATATAAGCCTGTCATAAGTAGCAAAACACTCAGGGCCGTGTTTATTAACAGTCCTCTGTACTGAACTTATATCTCTGAGTAGGAGACCTCTACTACTGTGAATTATAATAGTGTGTAACAACAAATACTCTGCAGTATTCGGTTGGGTTTGGATAGCTTTAAAGCCTTACAATCAACTTTTTGTAACAACAGTTTGGGCATGGTTAATTAATTTTTGACTGGTATTGAACCATCAGGTTTCATTGTCATTGTGGAGAAAAAGTTAGTGTTAAAACTTGAACAAGAAAGTTTGTCTGCCAGTGAGTAAGCACAACAGGAAGAGAATAATGTTAGGTTTTTTGAGGAGTTTTTTTTTTTGCCAGTAGCTATCGGCAGCTTTCCCCAGGTAGTGGAATGGTAAACAGCGGAGTAAGAGTGGAGCGTAAACTCTACCCAGCAAAACAAACAGAGTGTGACTGTCACAGGAGGAAAAGAAGGAAGAGACTGAAACTCAAGTCAAACAAGAGTGAAACTAAGTCAATTCAAAGAAGAGAGTCCTGCTTGGACTTGAACTGAGCTAGGGACATGTCCACTGGGACACAGCCAATCGAGCTGAGTCCTGGGACAGACCCGGTTTTCATTCACAGACAGTGACAGAGAGGTCTGGGTGCATTTACACTGTTTAACTTGGACAACAAACAAGTTCAACTGGTCCATCTATAGAACATCAGAACACGTCGTGTGTTACAATAATGTTTTTTCTTTCTCTCTCTCTCAGTCAAATACATGCGAGACGCCACGCCGTATGTGAAAAAAGGCTCCCCCGTGTCAGAGATCGGCTGGGAAACTCCTCCACCCGACTCCCCCCGCATCAGCAGCCCCTCCATCACCACCTCCTCGTCCTCCTCCGACCCTCCCAGCCCGTCTGCTATTCCCTCCCTCTCAGTCCAGGGTGACCGCAGGTGCATACCGCTGAAAATGTGCTGTGTCACACGAGCAATGACCACACCTGACCCCGAGAACAGGTAGGAGACACGATCACTGGGTCTGATTCTACAGGTGGAATGGATGGATAGATATTGGTACTGTTTACAAAGGTCTTCAATGAAAGGATCCAACTATGATAGGCTGAAGCACATAAGAAAAATAGATGATAGTCAAAAAGTTTTAAGAGAAAAGTGTCAACTTTAAATAATTAAAACATGTTAAGAAGAGCTCTAAGTCATCTCCAAACAGCTTTGACAAACTTTCTCAAGTCCACAGCCATGTTACATTTTTAGCAGGTTTTTCAAACCTCAAAAAAGCTATTTCAAAATCAGGGCAAGCATCAAATTTTTATCTCGAATGGAAACTATTTCAAAAGTTGTACAAGCCTATCTCAACCTGATTTTTTCTTTTCTTCTTCTTTTGAAATAGTGTATTGATAATAAACTTGATTTTAGTCCCTGGACAAAGACGCAGGTTGTGATTGTCAGGTTGTGTTTGAACATAAAAAGAATATGAAGATAAACTGTTTTGTTGTTTAGATATATAAGGAATCTTTAAAGCTTTTGACCTAACCCTTTCAAATTATTTAAGCTTCCCTGAGCTGAAAGAGCTAAAGCTGGTGTGTTAGATATTTTTGTTCCTATCTGTAGATAAGAAGAACATTAATAATCCATTCTGACATGTGCAGCGCTGTCAAATTCTCTTAAAAGTAAAGTGTGAGAAACTTCATCTTCTGTCCCTGCTGTAAACAAACACTGCGTGCCTCTGCTCAACCTCAGGCTCTGCTTCATTGATTTTATTTTCTTCCTCTCTTGTATCGTCACTTCCCTGTCTGTTTATTGTTTCTTAATTAGAAAATACATCACCTTTACACGAGCACCGATAAGAGTAATGACGGACATAAACAACCCCCGTTGTTTGGACTGAACTTTTTTTATTCCTTCTGAATTGGCCTTCATTGATCTGAGTCATTAGTCTGCTGTGTTTTATTTTGATCTGTTTTTATTCCGGATATTAGAGCTGCTGTGGAACGGTGGATTATTTATGTCTGGACACTGCTGAATCACGGCTGCGCATAAAAACAATGGCGTGGGAAGAGTGCGAAGAAAGAAACTTTTCTCTACTGTATTGGGTTTTGGGCAAGTGAAGATTTAAAAAATATATATTTATATATATCAGTGACAGCAAGAGAAGAAAAGTCATCTGATTAAGGAGCTTGCTCATTTACAATTCGGCCATTCTTTTTTCTTTGACTGACAGTCAATTTAGCCCCTGGGTAATTCTAAGTCAGCGGTGAGCTGTCAGTCAGGATGAGCTTAAACATAAACCACTTTTGACAATAGTCCAATCAAATGGCAAAAGCAAAGGCAAATGGCAAAAGCAGGGAACTGATTCACACTTCGTTGGTTTGAAACTGTGAATGTGAATTTCGTTTTCTTCCCTGTGTTTTCTTTAAGTGATTTCTCGAATCAATTGCTCGCGCCAATCGTCTCCTTTGTCATTTCCCAGCATTCTCTGTGATGATCTGTTATTCCCAGTTTTCTCTATGAAACTGTGAGGCAAAATCAATACTCTGCGATCGTCTTCGCCTCATTCTCACTCTGTACTTCTCTGTTCCCCTGCGTGGGTCCAGTTCTTATCATTCTCTTGCGATGATCTTCAGTAATCGTTCAGAGTCTCCTGCTGTGACTCTGTGTGACATTCTACATGTAAACAATTTACTGATGAGGAATAAATACTTAGTAACTATACATAAATGGTAGAAGAAAATTCTTTCTGCTGTGTATAAAACCCCCCCCACAACATTTCTTAAGCATCGTGAAGGACAAAAAGGGTTAAATAAATTCAATCAAATAGAATTATTATCATTGCAAAACACAACACAATATGTATATACGTAAGATAAAAATAAAGTATAATGAAAAAATCTCCCTATGTAGCCTATACTTTTACTACATTACTACTATGTGTTCCACGTATTAAAGTGCAGTGTGTTTCCCTGACAGTAAGAGGAAGAACACACCCTTCAGTTATTGATCTAATAAACCACCCGGTGACGGACAGATTCAAATATCAACTGTTTCCTGTCTGTGTCGACTCTGTCTGTATCTTTTGTGATGTGTAACTGCCTGGTGTCATGTTTCCATGGTCAGAATGAAGGTGGGGAAAAAAAAGAGTTGGAGAACAAGTTGCTTCAACCACGACAGCCTGCTGTTGGCCGAGCAAAATTTCTGGCATGTCAGAAATTCATCTGACCGTTGACAGCTGTTCAGGAGCAGATAATTGTTCCTGTTCTCATTCAGCTCTACACTGCATGACAAAGCAGAAAGTGAGTTTAGGCTGGAATCTGTCCAGAATTGTACACTAGTCTGCTGCACACCTCCAGTGAAAGAGATGTGTCTGAGCATTTCCTGAGGCAGCGTGAGGCAGCGTGACACACAGATCTGGGATGGCCACAAGTGAGGCAGGATCTGAGGCCGAGCTCACGCTGCTTTGACATCTTGTTCTTGTTCTTTTGCTCTCCTGGCAGACAAGGCACATCTATGTGCCCTGTGCCCACTTCAAAAATTAGGAAAGGCTTAAAAGGACTGAAAGGGGTTAGGGAATTAGAAATAGCTGCTGGGCCAATGTTGAACACTGAATTACAATCTGACCCGAGGTCTGCATTCTCTGTCTCAGATAAGAATATTAATGGCATTCTCACAACTGTACAAGAACTGTGGAGGCAAGGAGTAAAAACACTTGTTTTAGTCACCGATAACTAATCGGTGACTAAAACAAGTTTTAGTCACCGATTAGTTGCTGGATAAAGACACGAGGCATGGGGGAGGGATGGGATCAGCTAACAGGAGAAGACTTGTGAATGGTAGTTCTTCAAATAAAAAAAAGGCTTAGTACTATTGTTCAAGTGCTTTTTTTCAAACAGTGAAGCAAAACTGGAGATGAGGTATAATTAGTGAAAAATTGTAAGTAGAAACTGAGGCAGCGATTAAACACATGACAGGGATCAGGATCAGGTGATTAAACAGAGGTCACATCCTTGTCAGCTGACTGACAACAAAGTTACAGGTGACTATAAAGCCACACCCACATTTCAAAACAGTATTGACTTACAGGCTGGGAATTTTACTTAGAGAAACAGGTGAGAAAATTCCAACCTGCGGTTTAAATATTTTGTTTTTGTTCACTTAAAATACACCAGTGAGAAAAAAACCTGTTGAAACGTTTGACTGGCACGTAGAGGGAAGTGACCTGTCAGATCATGCATTTAAAGAACAATGTGGTTGAACATTCACTTCATCCACCATAACTTGGACTTTATTGGTCAGCAAGTTGTAACAGAGCCTCAGCTTCACAGCGATAACAGTCGGTTTTGTGTTTTTATGGAGCTGCACAAACTGACACTGTATTTTCTATTATCCATATAATGAACATTCCTTCTCTGCTCATGTACACTGGACTTTTTAGTCACTAGGAACATTTTAATAAATATGAAAACACAAGGTCACCCAAGGTAAAGAACTGTTGGTTCTGTTCTTCGGTGTTTAGAAAACGTCACCATATTCCCTTTCTCTAATCTGCAGTTAATACTGTAACTCTTTTAAGTCTTTTAATGTTGTTGAGATGTTGAGAAACACTAAAAAATGTGTCTTTTTCACTAAAGAATATGCCATGTTGCATCTCCAAACAAAGCGTTTTTGTTTTTTTTAGATTTTGTTTTTCTCATCTGTTCAAGCCTATATGGAAATTTGCACTTATGCAGGTAGACAAAAGAAAATAAGATAAAAACATATTTTAATTTGAGATTTAAATTGAACTTTGGGGTCGTTCTTATCTGCTCCTGATCCCTTCTGTAGTCACAGGTTAGTGTATTGCTGTGTAGTCATTCAAGCAAAACATTAACCACAAAGTCACGGCAGCAGCTTTCATTTCTACCTTGCCTCACATATCGGTGCCAATCTTTTTCTACCAATCATTTTCACAAATCTAGAATTTAAAAATGCAGTATTGTCGACATTTAAAAATAGAAAATAAGTCGGTTTCAGATCAGCAGTATCAGCAGATGCACCAGGCTTACAGTGTTACAGTTTTTCCAGCTTTCTTGCTAACATCAAATAATCAAATGAGCGCGACTGTCTTCCTTTGCTGGGAACTAATAGAATCTGTTGATAAGATATGTGCTCTCTGCTGGAACTGTTATATACTAGAGAGAGTCTCTGGTTTGTTTAAATGGGTTTTTGTTTTATGGGTGGTGGGTCCGTCAAAATGATTGATCATAAATTCTCAGCCTATCATCTCATCAATTATTCACAGAGTGTCTTTTTGTGAAGTATAGGACTCCCCACAGACAAAAAGTCAAGTTTTTAATTAGGACTAGTGAAGCATGAGACTGTGTTTCATGGTTATACACCTTGAATATTTAATCACACTGTAGTGGCGCAGCTGAGAGAGGACATGTTGACCGACGTGCTTTAAAAGAACAACTTAAAATAGAGAGATATTATCAGAACATAAACTGGTGGAATTATAACGTAATCTGCAGGAGCATGGCTGTGCTATTTTTTTTACTTTTGTTCCCTGCAAAATATGCCAATGTCAAAGGCTTCATAACAACAGGCAGTGCACATACGCTGGGGGGAGGGGAAGCGGGGGGGAGTAATCCTGTGAGAGCAACTTTTTTTTTTTTAGCTTGAGTCTAATCCTCGTAGACGCAGAACAGGGCTAAATGTTTAAACCCAGTCCGAGTCACTTTGTGTGAACTTCTTCTAGTTATGGCCCATTTCTGCTCATGCCTGACCCACGCGTGTGCAGAGTGAGGAAACAGCGCAACTATGTGTTGCTCAACTTCTTGGCAACTAAACTGTGGGACTCCGAGATCCTGCCTCTCCAAAATGCACATCTGGTATTGGTGTTTTCCCCTCACTTACCCTCTGCCTGTCCTTAATTAACTCCCATGTTACAAGCACCACGTCTATTTTTAACTCAGAACAACACACCTGGAGCTGATCGAGCGCCGGTCTTTCCCGCCTCTGATGGTAAAATGGAGGAGCAGATTCATCACATTCACACGTGCGTCTCCAGGTCCCCAGCGTGGGTGAATTAAGAAATCTGCGGAGACAGCATGTTCTGAAAAAGAAGAGAGAAAACATCTTTTTACTTCACACTCACACCACCTGGACAGTGATGGAACAGATGGCAGATCGCTACAGGGTCAACCGTCTGTTTTTGTTCACGGTGTAGACCTGTGTTTTTCAACATTGTGGTCGGGACCCGGCGGGGGGTCGTATGGAATTCAAATGGAGTTGCCTAGAATGTCTTGTATATAAAAATATTTTCAAATAATTATTATTCTTGTTAACAACTGTATTCTTTCACTTTGATGAATATAAATTGACTGACTGACTGTTGCCATCACATGACTAAAGAAAAATAATTTGTGAAGTCAAAATGGGGTCACAAGCCCAAGCAGTGGTTGGGAACCACTGCTTTAAACACTACCTGCTCTTTTCTCCTAAAGTACGTTGGGTTGTCTGGATACATTTTTGGGTGTTACATTTAAATTGACTTTTACTGCATAGACATTGACTGTTTTGATGCAGCTCGCAACATGATGTTCCGTCACATGCAGCCTCTTGATGTTTATATTCACAGAGCGCACAATCAAAGAGTCATTCAGTGAGAAAGAAAGTGAGCCTAGAAAAATTTCTCTCGAGGTCAGCGATGCTCCCCTGCGTCAAAGCAGATTAATTATGGAAATTGAGAAGGAAGCTCCTTTGTGTCCCGTTGCCAAGAGAGGATGCATTGATTTGAATAAACAGAAATTTCTGTAAAAATCAATTATGTTTTTCCGATTGACTGGTTGAGAGCCAGTGAGAGAAATATACTGAGCCGAACATGCGACTGTTAGATTAAACTAAATTAAGGTTTGCCTGAAACACCTTCCAAAAGTAAAAGTCACGACCTGTAATACACTCTTCTCATAAGAGTCTTTCACAGAATAGTTACTGCACTGATTAATGTGCCTCCACTGGGAACAAATCCTTTAACTATAACTGGTGCAGCAGTAGTTTCTCATTTCTGAAGCGATCATGTGAGAAGACGTGTCCGGTGTCACTCAGTTTGGGTGAGATAAATCATTGACCGCCATTAAAAAATTTTTTTTTCTACAACTGCTTTAAATTAGTTAAACATAAACTGCACATTATTTAAAATGTAGCTGTTAACTCTGAAGCACCAGGATGAAAAAAAAGGTAAACGCAAGTTCTGATTACTGGATTAGAGCTCATAAATGTTTGGTAAAGACTTAATAAAAAATTAAAAAATAATTCAACTGAAGAAATGCTCTAAAATGAAATACATTTTTTTACACACAGCTATAAATGTTAAGTCCCAAAAGGTAATAAGAAATAAACAACTCTGCATCTTAATAATGAAAAAAACACTTGCGTAAGAATAATGAGGAGATTGGTCAGTTGGGTTTCAGTAAATTCTTGTAAACATGGCCACTGGTAATGTGCACTTTCACAGTTCAATTCATTTGTTTTTGAAGCAGTCCACAGAAATGTGGACCTGGGTATTCAGTCATCTTTGACCTTGTCTTTCAGACAACTGGAGCTCCACTCCCCTGACACGAGACACACGGTGGTGCTGCGATGCCCAGACCAGTCGTCTGCCCTGTCCTGGTTCTCAGCCATTCACTCTGTCACATCCACACTGGCACAGGTCTGTCACTGCTCTGACTGATCAACCACACTCATCAATCCAAAAACCATTTGAAGTGGAAATCAGAATTAGAAATTAGCCAAGTTGTTCTGTGTCTGACGTGTCCTGTATAATCTTCTCCCTTGGCAGCGGGCGCTGGCAGAGGTCATTCAGAACACAGCAGGAACTGGGGTCAGCGGCAAAGAGATACGTCACCTGGGCTGGCTGGCAGCAAAGGTGGGTGTTAATACAAGAGAACAAACTAACTCCTCTCTCTTTGTGAATGTAAGTCCATTCTTAGGTGTACTTTCTGAACAATTTGATGTTTCAAAGTATCACAAAATCCAAAGATACAAGTACTGCTGTTACCATGTGACAGTTATCTAGCATTGTCAAGAACCACTAATATTCAAGAATGTGGGGAAAAAAAATTCCTGGCATGTCTGCGCTCTACTGGAGACAAGTCGAAAAAAATGAACTAAGCAACTGTGTGATAAAAGAACAGCTGAAAATTGATGTCAACACAACGTCAGGGGCAATCGATGTAACATTACACTCCACGACTTCTTGTTAGAGACCGGTAAGATATAAGTGAGAGATAGGATTGAAACAATGTCAGGAATTTGTAATCAAAGGCTCTGATGACAATAAGCATTAAAGGCTGAGACAAAGGTCGGGGTAATGGATTAACCGGTGGTAATTAATACAATCCCATGGTCTGCATTAGGAACTGAAAAATGTCGCCAAAAATGTTAGCCTACATTAGCGCCGTGTCCATCTGGTGCACACACGGATGAAGATGGTTTCAAACACTGGCAAATAAACAACTACAGATGGAACCTCGCTTTCGCATTGAAACACACCTGTGTAAATACACACACACACACACACACACACAAACACCTGTCTGATTTAATCCCTGTGAATTTGACATTCTTCATCCTTGGACTGCATTACATTACAGTTACTTAGCAACATATTTTCTTATTAGTGAAAAGATGACCCTTGACCCTCTAAATCCCGGTGTGTGATTGGCTGAGGGAACACTTCAAAGGGGGGCTTAGGATTCCATGTCTGGGCTGCAGATAAGCCCTAATAATGGGAATAGCTGTGGTGTGATGTGAAATGAGTGTGTGTGTGTGTGTGCGTATCTGTGTGTTTTCCACTAGATTTACAGAATGCAAGGGGAAAATAAGGAGCCTGCTTATTAGCAATAATGGGTGGGCGAAAGGGCACAGTGTAGCAAATGCAGTGAAAGCGTACCTCCACCTGCACACGAGCCGTCTTTATTTTTAGCACTTGCACGAAAAACAGAGAATTACAGTGTGTAGTCAACAGTGCAGTGTTTGTGAATCAGGTCTCTTATTAAGTTGGGAGGTGAAAACCTGTCAACACCCACTGCAATGAAAACACACAGACACTAAGCGACAGTTTTTACTCTCCCCCGATGGTGACAGAAAAACCTATAAAGCAACCCTTGGTTTTAAACTCCCGGCCCGCAGGCCACTTTCAGCCTGCATGTGGTCCGGAGCTGGATGTCATTATAATGCCCTCTTGGGGACAGAAATGTTTTCATGCCCCCCCGACCCACACCCCCGCGAATTGAAATACTATTAAAAATGTAAATTTTTATCTGTACAGACCACTGTATAAGTTGCTGCCACCTAGTGACTGGAGGTTTGTTATCATTCAAGCATTACAGCAGTGGCACACTGTCCAGTGTGCCATGTTGTATTGAAACCCCCTCGTGCCCCCCGCCCACACACTATTTTAGAAGTACTGTTATAATGTAATACGACCCCCTGCTGTTAGTTTTGGCCTCTCCAGGAGCGACTTTGTCGGACTGTGTAACTACATGTTGTGATCTACCCTGAATCATTTATAAAACAATTACAAAAGCAAATACAAAGTATACAGACGAAGCTAAGCGCTAACCAGTCTGCTCTGGTTAAAAGTCAGATGAAAAGACAAAAGGAGGCTGCAGATATATTGTACTTGTAATTCCAGATTACCCAACAATAATTCTCCACATCTACAGCTTGCTTTGTTTTCTTTTTTTTTTTTTCTCTCTTAGCTTTTTCTCTTTGTGACAGTGCCGATCCCTGTGACCTGGCTCGTACTGAAACAAGTGAGAGACAGAGACAGCTGTCATAACTCATTGTGTGTGTGTGTGTGTGTGTGTGTGTGTGTGTGTGTGTGTGTGTGTGTGGTACAGAGAGAGAGAGACACACAGAGCT